CCCCCTCACTTGACATTTCAGGATTCTGGTTCCTGAGGTTGCCGTGTGGCGAGCGGCATTCGAGTCAGTACGCATGTCAATAAGTGTGTGTTTGTGTTTTTGTGTCTTTCTCCTTCCCCTTCCCCTTTCCCTTCTCCTTCTCCTGGTCCTTCCCCTTTCCCTTTTCCTTCTCCTTCTCCTGTTCCTGCTCCTTCTCCTGCTCCATCTCCTTCTCCTTCTCCTTCCTTCTTCTGGGCTTCTCCTTCTCCTTCTCCTCCTCTTCCTTCTCCTTCTCCTTCCTGGTGCAACATGCTGGGAAGTCTACGCGATAGGGAATATGGACAGTGTCGCTCCATTCGATGGCTCTTCCGGAGAATGCTGACAACATCTTGACCTCTGGATGAAGGGATAAATATGCCCGATGTTCAAAGCACAATGCTGAAAGAAAACAGCACAAGTGTGGGTCAAACAATACCAAAACGGCCACATGATTTGATCTGCTCTTCAGTACATAGGTGGGAACACCTAAGTGATGCAGGCTAGGAGGATCCTGCGCCTCTAGTATACGAACTCTAGCGTACGTTGTATTCAAGCCGGGTAAGACTTGCTGCTTAGCCTAACTTGAAAAAAGGTTCTGCTGCCTTTTCAGCTCAAAGACCTCCTGCCCCGCTGGGCCACGGGCGAATTCGGGATTTCGATCCAAGATCAGCGCGGCCAGTGGGATCTCAGCGGCCAGTGGCACCAGTGAGATCTCCCGCATTTCATGACCCGGGACCCTTGTAGGTATCTTCAACATGAGCAAATATTGGCCAAAATGACCACAATTATATAGATTGATAAAGATTCCTTCCTTGTGTATTCATCCAAAAGAACAAAATGTCTTGATCATATCTTGGTGTCAATAGGTCCTCATCCACTGGGCCCACACTAAGTGGTCTGAGACCCAGGCACTGCCCAACCTGCCACAGTCGGAGTGCCGGGTCCACGGTCGGATGGGTATCTTGCAAAGGTCCTTCGTTTGATGAAGTGGAGACCCATGTGAGACCCATCAACCCTCAAGTTCGGCTGGTCACTCTTTTCATCTGTCCCTTTTAATCACATAAATGTCCAGATGTTGGAGGGCCATCGCTAATAGGTTCACCAACCCAACCCATCCCCAAAGCCTCCAATTTGCTGGTGGCACCTGAAGCTACACCCCGCATCGGAAGCCCGCAGCTCCACACAAGCCGAAGCACTGGGCTTCGCTGGGTTCCACCCTCCAAAGCTGGCCTCTTAACAGATCAACTTGGTAAAACCTCCAACCCCAGAACCGACCCAACCTGGTTGGAAGTCCAACCCAATCCTCCCAGTCTTCCCAGAAGTCTGTCAATGAAGAGGCCTGGCGGCAAAGTGGATGGGCGTGAAGCCGAAGGTGGGCTCTTTCGCTTCCACGCTCACCTCGAGAAAACACCGCCACCGGTGGAACAGAGGGTGCCAACCAAAGAATGCATTCGAAGGAAAAGGCTATGACCAAGTTCTACTTCAACACTGGGTCTTGTTGATGAACTTACAAGAAGACTCATCTCATCGCAGAACAAATCTCGTCCCCATTCCGCCGGTGCTTGGATGTCCAAGTGACTTTCGGCTTGCTCAAGAGCTGCTTCACAAGCTCTACGTCTGGCCTCAGGAAGATCAAACAAATCTCAAAGCCTTGTCAGATTGCGCGGTGCGCACCAATCTAGAAGGAAATGTGCTATGTGCTTCCTGTGCCAATAAAAATGGCCTCGTCCGTGGCCTTGCAAATGCATGCTGCAAGTTGTAAGAATCCCATGGTGTGACTCGTGTCGAACTGTGCAGAGGGGGCAATTCCTTCCAATGATTCCTCACCATCATAGTGAGAATGATACCAATGAGGCATCCCTTGAAAAAAGGCTTTCCTCACAGCATTCCTGTATAAAGCAAACTAGTCCAAGAGAAAGCAACTGCCAAATCATCACGAAGTCAAAAACGGCAAATCAAATCTACTTCCAGATCAAGAAAAAAGAAGTAGGCAAAAAACAAAACAAAAACGTCCATCACATGCAAAAAAAGAACTCTTCTCCGGACACAGTAAAAGAACCATCGTTCTTTGAGGGTCCCAAGCTCATCCGCCGACATGCATTCCACCAAGGCGTTCTCCTCGGATGCAGTGAGTTTTGGTGGAGTTCAGCCCCTGTTTCGTCCTTTGGCCGAACTGCACTCCACTTCCACGCGATGACCCGCTCAGAGATGGTCTGTACCAGGCTCATCCAGGTTCAAAGGAACAGCACCATCCAAGGCTCCGGGCATTGTTGGCCGCCCACAAATGGTCCGGATGTCCCCTCACAGCCAATGCCCTTAGGTCACTAAAAGGTGCCCGGTGGGTGCAAATCAGGCCGTAGGGTGCCTGCAGTGCCCTGAGGCCACGCCAAAAATGAGGAACACCAAGGGAAACCAACCCTGTCTGCAGTTCATGCACGTATCTGTTTCCAAAAGAACTGCCGAAAAGAACCTGATGATTTGACCCTGTCAATGGCTGTTTTTGATGAGAAATGGACCGTAAATGATTGTAGGGCCCAGTTTGCCGATCTTTTGGGCACTCCCTCGGGGTATCTTCTGTTGTGCCACCACTTGGTTCTCAGCTGCACTCGCTTTCTTCACGTCTTCTGGGCCCCCGGTCTCATCCCACAAGGTTCTAGGCTTCTCCTGGGCATTGATGCGAAGGTCTCCTCCTATAGAAACAGCCGTTAAGCTGCAACTCCTGTTTTGGGCCGCGAGCTGCGAAGTCAAGGTGACATGACATCCTACTATGTGCAAGGTACAAAATGTACATATTACATGGAGTGAAAATACACCCCCCTCAGCTAAGGTAGCTTTGCTCCCGAAGCTGGACGCGGAAAGTGCACGAGGGCTTGTGCAGGGCACGACAGTGATGTCGGCTCAAAGCTGCATGGCAGTTATGGATGCTAGCAATCCGCTGCCTTCGTGGCCCTGTACGTGCATTTTAATTATTCACTCCCCGCCGCCAAAAGAAATTGAAAGTTTGGACTTGGGAGGAAAACCGCATACATATTGACAATGGATGTCATGCAATGAATTATGCTCGCTCAGGCAAAAAAAAGGTTGAGACTTGGCTCAACTAACGCCAATGCCACTGGCTCCGACTCGAGCTCCAGTCCCACGAGCGGCGGTCCCACTGCCGCTGCTCGCCCCACTCGCTCCAGTTCCATGAGCTCCATCCCCACGAGGACGATGCTGATCCGGATGCACGTGGGCTCACCGGTGAAGGTGGCGGACCTCCCTTTGCCTTTGAAGCTGGAGTTCCATCACCTCCGGTAGAGGACTTGCGCTTGCCCTTGCTCTGCTGCTGGCGCTGCTCTTGAGTCTGCTTGTTGACCACGTCACGCCTGGCAGCGGAGAGGTTGTCGTGGCATAGCTGGCGAAGCTCCTCAATTGCGCAGTATTGGCTCATCTGATGCACGCCGTCCCAAGCCAAAAGGCCGCGATGGGAGTCGGGTGAGTTGAGGTACTCGATGTACTCGCGCAAGGAGAGGATGTTGGTGCGATAGATCACGCACCATTGCTCAGGAATGTAGTCCATGGCTTGTGGATAGCGATCGGGCGCTACGTCGATGTAGACCAGCCGTGCCAGAGAATGATCTTCGTCATATCCAAGGCCCAGGCTGACTTGCGCTTTGTTGCGCGGCGGGTTCGCCAAGTGAGCATGGCAAAGCCAATCCTGCCGCTGCGCTGCCCGATGATCATAGCCCATTTGCAGCATTCGTTCCATGAACTGGACGTCATGCTCGAAGCGATCCTCGATGCTCTGGAAGCCACACTTGTCTGCACGCTTCATCCGGCTGCGAGCGTCTTGGATCATGATCGCTTCTGGGCTCATGTTTCCACGGCCGCTTGCAGACACCACACGCAGATTGAGGCCAGCCTTGATGTAGTCACTGACTGGGCACTCGGTGCGAGCGAGGCCGGCCCTCGCAAGCTGCTGCTTTCGGAGAACTGAGAGTCTGGTAACAGCTTCCTCCGGCAGCTCGGTGTTGGTGGCAAGTTCGGCTGAACAAATGTCACAGTGGGTCATGCCCCTGAGGACTAGACCCTTGCATTGGCTGCATTCAACCTGGATCACCGTCAGCTTGCGTCCCTTTCGAAGTGTCGGGGCGGTGATCGGCGCATCAAAGCCAGGTGGAGGCCCCGCAGGCTCAGGCGGAGCGTACCCGCTGTAAGATGCTGCAGGTTGCTCTTGCTCTGCCACATTCACGATGGAAGTAGGTGGAGTCGAAGGTGCAGCCTTTCTTGCAGGTGCCGATTTGCTGGTTGCCGTCAGGGAAACAGGCATTGCTTTTGCGGTTGGCCGGGGCTCGCCAGTGATGGCGGCCCGGCTCTCACCTCCATCCGCTGGAGCAGCCTCGGGTAGGCCAACGGCGCTTACCCTGGTCCAGAGTGTGGACTGGCTTTCGGTGTTTTCGACGGAGACAATGTATTCTGGAGGTACCGTGTCAACCGTCATGATCCCACCGGAGCGGTTCTGGAAAAAGATGAGACCGCCATCGACTGCTTCCCGAAGTGCAACGGTAATCTGAATAGGGTGCTTGCCGCGGAGACCGCTTTGATAGTCGGTCTCCGTAATGCGGCTTGCAGCCAGGTAGACATGGGCTCGATCGCTGCCAACAAACTCGCCCCCGCCTGGGATAAGGCCCTCCTTGACGATCCGCTTCCAGCACGCTGGCCTCGTGCGGTGGTAGGCCAAGGCAGGGATTTCATCCGCTTTGGCGATGGGCTTCCCAATGAAGGGAGCTTTGGCTTCTGGCCTGAGCGCAGGACTGCAGTACATCAGGGCTGCCGATCTGTAATTGTCCTGTGCGCTCTTGATCGCGCGCTTGCTTTGGCCAGCAGCGGCACGCATCTTCAGAGGCCATAGTGCCACGCCCTTCTCCTCGAGTTTGTGCCCTTCTCGAATGCCCAAAAACTCAAATCGGTTTTTCTTGTCCTTTGCTGCTATGGCGATCAAGTCTTTGACGGTGAGCGGCGGGGCACTGCGGTGATTCAGGCCGAAACACCTGGCTACTTCGTCCAAATCTGCGTAGCCATCTTCGTCAACCTCAAGGCCCAGATATTGGTCATGTTGTCGAACAACTTTGGATAGCTGGGTGAGCCAATCCTTGAGGGGTTTCGCGAAGAAAAGGTGCCCGCCATTGAGCTCCCATCCGCTCGCAAAGTGGAGCGTGTCGCCAAGCTGGACCACCTGCTGGAAGGCCCCATCGACCTCGGCCATCTTGTACGTGTACTCGTGGTATTGGTCTGCAAGGTACTGAGGGCACACAACGTGGCCTGCATCAGCACCGGCTGCCGGCGGCGATGAGGGTGCCTCAGGCTCGGGCTCGCCAGTGATGGCGGCCGAGCCTTGCTCGCCATGAGGTGCGCTTTCTTCTTCATGTTCTTCTGGCACGACCTCCTCATATGGCGATTCCTCCTCATCATCAATGGCATCGATGTCGAGCCATGCCGCTGGGTTCTCACCAGTTTCGACGCGATGGCTGAGTTCCTCAAGCGTCTGGAGCCGACCCTCATAGGTTTCTCGGTTGATGTCCAGCTCTGCAGCAATCTTCTCCTGCTCTTCTTCCATGACATCAAGGCGTTGCTGGAGGATCTTTTCTGCCGTGGCGTCATTTGCGACGAAAATCTCCGAAAGGTCTGGATCAGCTTCCTCCCCTTCGGGCTCATCATCGATGACGGCCATGTCTGCCTCGGTAATCGGCGCAGCACGGTTTGGCTGCTCCGCAGCGACGTCCTTCTTGGTAAGGGCGCGAGCGGTGAGCTCGGCTGCGGCGATTGCCCTTTTGTGGCGGACATCGGCAAGATTTCGCATTAGCTCTTCGTATCGCTGATGTGGAGGGAGGCGATCATCACGAAGCTCAAGTCCACCGAGCGGACGGTTCATCGGACTGGTGGCAGCTACTTCCAATGCGATATCTCCGAGAACATAGAGTCTCATGAGCAGGTGGAATACACTCTGACAAAATGAGAATATATGATTTGCATTCTCGTCCGATTTTTCGCAATGCCATTGGTCACGCAAGTCCATGCGGATGTTGAGGACGTTGATGTTGACTAGGCGGAAGCGACACTTGCCGACCTGAGAACCATACACCTCATCTTGGAACCATTGACTCAGCCGATTGTACCAGTCGCTGTAGGGTCCCTGCCGCGTGAAGTTGTAGGTCTCAGGATCGGGCGCGCTGATGAGAGCGGCCGAGTGCACACCGTATCGAAACATATCGGCGGCAAACCCGACCAGCTCCTCTTGCGCCTTCTCCTGTAGCTCCATGTAGTGATCGCCGTCAGGATGATCGAAGGGCCATGAAGTCTGGGCTTCAATTCCTTTCTTGCCAATGAGCTCGTTGCCAGACCATACCACGCCAACCAGCAGCATGCAGCCTGGAAACTGGCGCTTGAGGCTCCTCACGGCAATACGGGCTCGTTTCAGCAACAATGGCAACTCTGCACCCCAGAGGCATTCGTGGTGAAAATGCTTGCAGTAACTTGGACGATAGGCCTGAAAGTGATCGGCCAGATCGAACCTCTGGGGTTTGCGTTTCGAACCGCTAACCAAGCACAAGGTGGAATCAGAGATCAAGATATGTACCGTCTGGTAATCTTGGCTCGTGGGCACACCTGTGAAGGCGGCTAGATCATACCGTGAGGTCCGAATCAACGGGCCCAACTCCGGCTCTAGCCATCGGTTCTTCTCGACCAGGCCCGCCAGCGCAGAATGTGCTGTGTGCTGGCCAAGGACGCCATTCAGCACCGCGTCCACGTCCTCAGAATATCCGTCTTCGAGGTAGTAGCCGGAGGCCACAATCTGCCGAAAGTGCGACTCGAAGATGTCCAAGGTTTCCCTGCGCATGTCTTGGTCAGCCGACATGGTGTGATCAACAATGATCGCTGGCAGGGCGCGCTGCACGACGGCGGCTGAATGACTTGAGCTGCTATTCTTGAAACAGCGGTGAACAAGATCAGTGTACTCAAACGTGTAACCTTCAGCACTCTTCAATGACTTGCCTCTACTTTGCCCATGAGTGTGATCATGTGTGCACATGTATTGCTCAAGACATGCAAGCTCATGAAGATTTGTGCATATGTGCCAACTCTTACGCATAAGATTACCGTGATTATCTCGCACACCAAACATGCATCCATCGAAGTTGTATCCTTGCAAGTTGTGGCGTTTGATGAAAGCCAACACCGACGGCCAATGCCAATAGCGACAGCGACGGGAAAGCTCAAAGGCAACAAACGTCCTTGAGTCAAGGTGGTCACGCACGAGCTTGGCGAAGCTCTTGAAGAGTTTGGTGAACTCCTTTTGTTGCTCCTTGATGCGTTCCAATCCTTCCTCAGTTTGCTTGTTGACGTTTCCCCATGGGCTCCCGCCCGTGCAGGGCAAACTGCCGTACAGCAGAACCTTTGCTTTTGGGTGCTGTTGTTTAAAGGTGTTGATTTCTTTGTCAAGCCACCTCGTGCACTCGCCTGTGGTTGCATCTTCGTTGATTGTGACGCGGAGGACTTTACATCCTTTGGACTCACTGCGCATTTGCCCAAGCTTAGAATCAGCAGAACAACAGAACTCGATAAGCAACCTATCATGTGTGTTCGCATGTGCAACACCCCCCTGCTGCAAGACTTTGGAAACCACC